CGGGTGGCAGGTCTCGCGCGTCACTACCCGTCGGGGGCTGGCACGAGTCGCCGCAAACAGGCGCCGAGAGAGGACTCGACGTCAGCGTCGGACTCTACGTCGGCGGGCGCGCCACCTGGGAGCCCCGCCAGCGTCCTCTGACGATGCCCGTGACGCAACTGGGCACGTTGCCCAGGAGCATGCTGGGAAGGAACTGAAGCAGGTTCCCCTAAGGGGTCCGGAAAGGAGCGTTAGTCCTCGGTAACCACGTGGTGGTGTGATTCCCGTGGCCCCTCAAGGCCGGGTCTGTGCGATGGCTTGGTCATTTGACCAGTTGCCGCTGCCTATTTGTTCACAAACAGGGACAAGGAAATGCAGTTATTCATTTGCCTGGTCTGTGGAATTTGATAGAGTCGTGCATCGGTTAATCGCTACTGCATGGCAAAGGGTTTGGAGAACACTGATTAAGGAAGTATTTTCCTGACGTGAAAATAACTTCTACTCATGTGCTCTTGCTAGAAAAGTATGCAATAAGTAATGTAGCATGCAAAGTGTTATGTAGTGCTTATTAAAAATAAAATAGGGCGCCCTCCCTGGTGGCGCAGCGGGTTAAAGCACAGCGCTGAGAAGCTAAAGCCACTTCCGCATGAGTTCGATCCCTGCCCTGGAGGAGATCCACATGGCGCCGCAGACCTCTCCTGACCCGCCAGCTGCTCCCCTCAGCAGTGTACTTCATTAGTCGGCCTGTGCTGTTCCCCACTCCATCCCTGGTGAATCCTCTCACTGCCCCTGCACCTCTGGCCTGTACCCCAGTTCTGTATGCATAAATAAATAAATCTTTAAAAAAAACCCCTCAAAATAGAAATTCCATACAATCCTGTTACCGCACTTCTGGATATTTACCCAAAGAATACAAAAACACCAATTCAGAGAGGAATATACACTCATGTTTCTTGCAGCATCATTGACAATAATGGCAGGGTGGCACAAGGGAGCTCTTTGGCATTTTGCAAAAAGTTCAGTGTGCCCACAGCTGGTGGCAAGGGACAGACCTGGGAAGGTAAGTGGTAACTAGGTCTCCAAGGACGAACCAGCGCAAGTGGGAAGGCAGCGAAGCCAGTGCATATGCAAGCGACCACAGGACAAACCCGCTTTTCTGAAATGCTTCCCTGGCAGCAGTTTGGTTATGCTGAATATGTGATCGGAATATGACTTCTCGCTTTAAACATATCCCGATGTTTCAAAATGCCTCTTCTCCCTGACAATTAGCTTGGATTGTTTGCAAGTGGCTCTTTGCCCCATTGCAGCTGGGCTCAGGGGTCAGGAAAATGGAGAAAGTGTGGTTGAACTAAGGGGACAATTTCCCCCCTCACTCCTCACAGCAGTAAAATGTAGAAAATATTTCCAGAAAATAGCAATCATAACTTTTTTTACTCTGATTTGATATTTATATCCATGGTGAGAATACACAGTGAATATTTTTGACTCAGATGAAAGACAAATAGAAAGAAACCTTTCTACCCACCACGAATAAATGACTTTTTTTTTAAAGATTTATTTGTGCATACAGAACTGGGGTATAGGCCAGAGGCTCAGGGATGGTGAGAGGCTTCACCAGAGACAGAGCGGGGAATCGAACTCATGCAGAAGCGGCTTTAGATTCTCAGTGCTGTGCTTTAACCCGCTGCGCCACCAGGGAGGGCCACGAATAAATGACTTAACTGTAAGAACAGATCCGCCAGCTTAGCCATAGAAAAAAAAAATCTCATTAGTTTACCTACTCCCTTTCTTTTCTCAGAAAACACTTTTGGTATGGTACCAGGGCCACAGCTGGAATGGGTTTCCCAGGGCACAGCAGCTATAGTTGAAGAATTCCCGAGTTTTACCTCCCCTCAGTACCAAAACACTAACTTGTCACCTAAGCCTGTTCAAGAGACTTTAAAGCCTCTGCTTTGGAATTTCCCCCTGACTGACCCGACTTCTCTCCCCCACAATAACCAAGCAGAGTCCAGCCTTACCTTGCCCGGTTACTGCTCTTTGGGATTACACATTAATCCGCACAATGTAATTAGTTTACAACAATTTACCTTGCTTAATTGTGCTGTGGCATCTGAGGAATTCGACAGTGTTGGTGGTAACACTGGCATTTGTTTATACCAGCAACACATCTTTAGGGGTTGAGCTCAGCAAAAGCCTAAATGCAGCTGAAGTATTCTTGGTTCAAATGAAGTCACATCACCAAGCATATCTCAACCCAGATGTGCTCCCCAAATTATGACTAATAAGGAATGACAGAGTCATCCCCCCAAGCTAGGGTGTGGTGACAGTGAACACAGAATTACATCATTCTGATTTTGGGCATTTATCCACATGAGCACAGTGAGTGGCATCCTTGATAGAAGAGCATTATTTTATGTCTTTCATTATGAGAAGGGAAAGACATCAGGCTTAAATAGAAGTAAATGCAAATCATTTTCAAAGTCTTAAAACTGTCTCTTAGAATAGCACACAAAGACTCAGAACCTCTCAGAGGTTCTGAGAAGAGCTGAAGCTGTCTACCTTCCCCCCATTCTTTACCTGCAGACAGTGCTCCTCATCTCCTCTAAATATAAAGTTTCTGTGATAAAGCAGGGTGCAGAACCTCAGAGTCTGTGAAAAGATAGCGTGGTGATACTATGTTAACGGGAGGTTTTACAAGTACACGTGACTGGGAGGTCAAAATGCTGAGGCTCCATGGTTATCGACTAACCGCAATCTTGTTTTTCCAGCCAAAGTGGCCTTGGGAAGAAAACTATATCATGGTGCTTATCACAGTTGATGGCTCCTCATGTTGATTTCAAGATCGATCCAAATGTATAAAACTTACTTCCTCTGCTCTAATTTATGTCAGACTTGCCAGGCTGTCTTGAGAAAATACCTCCCAAATTCTTTTAATTCCTGCTGTAGCATACCAACAACTTAGCGTGGAGACTGAGCTTTTAGCATTCTCCCACAGTATAAAAGAGAGACCCCCAGCTCCCAATCACAGATGGAATCAGGACGGGGGAGGACCAGATGTGGGAGACCCACGTGTTCCTGGCTGTGGGGAGGGGAGAGGAGGGACAGAGTGTGCAAAGGAGAGTGAGACAAGGCCCAGATGTACACCTAAGTGGGGAGCGTGGTGGGCACCGCAGTTCATGAAATCGTGGTCCCACCACGGGCAAGGAGGGAAATCATTTCCACTCCCAGAAAAAGACGGCAGGTAGGTGAGCTCTGAAGCTCAGCCTCTGTTGCCACAGGGGAAGGAGCCTCAGCCTCTGGGTCTGTTGAGGCATGGCAAGGCCACCCGGCAGGGGTGAGAAGGGGCCCGGGACTCACGGCAGGGAGAGGAGATGGCCAGAGCCATGGCAGGTGGGCAGCCTCACCCCCTCCTGATCCTGAACGAGCCAAGAGCCCACCCCCAGGTCCTGCCGTCAGTCAGGGCAGCAAGGAACTCCAGAATCAGGGTAGCAGGTTTGAGAGCCCCGTGTCTACCCCGAACCTCACAGGCACATCTGCCCACCAGCTCTGCTCCTCTGTGGGAGCATTCCAAGACAGAAGCAGAAGAGGGAGAGGCCACTGAGAAAGAGCATTTTCCCCCAAGAAAGGCTTGGTGTTCCCTCAAGTGTCTATTTAAGTGATTGGACCTGGCTCTTCTTTTAACAGACATGAGCATTAACTTGATTGGTTTCTTATTGATTGTACTTAGGAAAAAGACCCCACTGAAGAAGTTATATATTTTTTTCTATCTATCCTGCTTGAAATGGGTAAAGCATTTTGTAAACCTGCTCTGTTTGTAAAGTTCAAAGATGAGGAATGGGAGAATACAAAATCCTCAGTTTCCCTTTCTGCTTTTTAGACATAGAGGAGGAATATAAATAAGAAAAATTCTGTGTCTGGAAAATTCTGGAAACTTGCTTAGCTTTTTCTGCAAGGCAGAGGGTTGTCTTTGGGATTAAATCAGCTCATGTGTACTAAGGCTCTGGCCTGATGCCTGGCTCCCGCATAGGTAGGAAGCCAGAAGGTTGTATATATGGAGAGAAAAAAAAA